TCAGTACTTTCAAAAGTCATTGAGAGGCATGTACACGACACGCTTTACAGCTATCTGTGATAATTTTCATAGCTTATTTTTATGTACTTGTTGGGAATTAGATAATTGCCTGACAACACAGCGGTTTTCCCGATAAACTCGCGCTAAAATCAGTCACTCACGATATAATTTTTTAACAGATATATTTTTCTCTCACAACGTGCCGAGTTTTTTTTCAACACAGGTGGTGTATTTTAGAACAAAGGATATACAATCGGTGAATGTTTCCTTTGATTGGTTACAGTTACTAATGATGACAGATTCGATGCCTATCCCTTTCCGGTGGACTAAACGACGAAATTTTAAACGCGTTAAAAAGGTTTGATTATGTAAACACACGATTTCGGACAAGCCCGCAATACGCACGGATATTTTGTGAAATGCTTAGTTACTTGGGTCATAAAATACGAGCAAGGAATTCATTACTCCAGTATTATTTAATGTTCGAATAATTTGGCTTCTAGTTTTTAAAATAAATCCCACGGGAGCGACAGACGAAATCAACTGAATTAAAAATATTGAAGAGTTCTTCATGACCACCAAAATATTTTGATGCGCTTTAAATTTCTCTCTCAAGCCAAAAAAAAAAAGCCTGGAAAAAATCAAATTTTGGCACAGGCGGCCCAAGCGCTCTTTGAGAACTACACAAGGAACACAATTTGCATATCGATTTATAAGGATTTGTATGGGATTTTTTACAAGACAGCCATAGAGATAGTTAAAAGTAAAAATATTAAATAAAAATGGCTTACCTTATCCCATACGTGTGTTGCTTGCTCCTGGTGTCGTTATTTTACCGATTTCACTTGATTTAATGGTTTTTTTTTTAATCCTGGTTTTCTCTTCTTGAAGAGAAGAAAAGGCCGAACACTTCTGTCCAGACAGCCTCCCGAACGAAGTTAAAAAATCCCGAGCTAAATTGTACCCACGGCCACAAATCCACCGCAGAATTCAAGGGCAAAAGTTGAAATTTCATTTCGATTCTCTAGCCACATAATCTCAGCCCTGCGATCGAAGCCAGGCGGCTGTTCGTGTCCTCAGTGAAACATTAGACGTTCTTGAGGTCACGAACGCCTACCGGAAGTCATTGGAGGAACTATGTACATACTGCGCATGTCATGACGTTCGCGTGGTCACGTCGCAGACGCCAGACCGCCACTTTTTAGGTTGAAGGTAGGACGCCCCAAAGATATGCTGTTATTTTGTTTATAGGAGATAAATTATTGACTCAAAACCATAAAAAGCTCTTCTGCTTTTCATTAAGTGATTAAAAAACGTTTTCGTAGCGCGTAAAGTGGTTTTTGCTTAATCGATAGATTAAACAGGATTCGACCATGGCAGACAATTTTCTCGCCAAGTCGAGGTGAGTTAAGTCATTTGATTTCATGTCCATTTGAATCATCAAATGCAGAACTAAGATTTCTTTAAACCGGGTTTAAGCTTATCACGAATTACTTTGAGCGATAATTTATAATTAAGACACTTAAGCGACATTTAGATACAATAACAAAGTGCAAAATGAGATAGATGATTGTCTTTCTGCATCGGTTGTATTTTGTAACTGCACATTGTATATCGTATGCATCTATGCTAGGTTTTGAGCAACCGACTACAAACATAAGAATAACAAATCTCGCTGTGGTTAACGAATTTAGAAAAAGAGAAATGGTCCTCTAGGCATCCAGATCATGCACTGAAAACTTCATGCTCGCTCGTTTGTTCGCATTGTTTACACAACTATGAAGTGGTAAATTTCAAGTCGCCTAATAAATTGACGAATTATTCATTCTGTCAAGAGAGTGGGGTAAAGAAACTTATTCCCTTGCTCATTAAGGTCATATCTCTAGCATCTTTTAGCAAAGACATGTTAACACGGGTAGAAGTCCGTGTCTGAAAAACGTCGACTGCTTAACCTTCCTATTTCGCGCCAAGAACGAAGGCCTCGATCCAGTCTTACGCGGCTTCTCTGCCGTTCGTGTTGTCAAGAACGTCTGGTGCTTAAGCTCTCTA